GGTGTCAATAATGGTGATGCAAACACCGGCTTAGGACACTGCTGACTCCAAAGTACTGTATGTTCGGTAGCGTCAATGGCAAGAAGACAGCCAGTCAGTGTAGCAATGAATACTAAGTGTGGTTTCTTACTAATACATGGAGAACTGAAACAAGATCCTCCACCACAATGTATTGCAGCAATGTACTGCCTGTTTGTAACATCAAGGACATACCAATGGTGGTCATGTGACCCCACCCAGGCCAATCCAGTCTGTGGGTCAATGCAGGGAGAACTTTTCACAGCTGCACCTGTTTGGAATGTCCAAATTATTCCACCGATGAAGCGGTTGAGTACATACACTTGGCCATCATAACAGCCTAGAAAAAAAAATTAGGTTTCAGTTGATAAAATGGGGAGCAGATCATTGTCTCCGTTATTACAGGGACTTTTCCAGGGTTTTTGTTCCTAGGTCTCAGACTGATTTTTCCAGGGCTCCAAATTTCACCTTAAAAACCTTTAAGATTTTCAAATCAATTTTCCATACCTACATACATTTCTTAGAACCTAAACTTTGAAAACTTTATTGCTTGAGTTAAGCAGATTTTCAGGACTTCCCAGGACACACAGCCCTTTTCCAGGACATTGCAGTCCTAGAAAATGAGAATATAAAGTTCCAAATATTCAAGGACCCATACAAAACCAGGTATACATACATGCATAAACGTATTTCCATTCGGATTTGTGAATAGCACTAGATGCGCTAGTATCTCCGAACATATAACTACAAAACAAGTGTCAATAAGTTTAAAATCGAAAGAAGAGAGGGGATGGAAGGGTGGAGGAAGGCTTAGAAAAAAAATGAATTAATGAAATGAATAACGAAATAAGCAGCAGGCTCCTTTCTCCTGAGAATGTTTACAATGGATACATATTCTTACATTGAGAATTTTAATATTGGTAGTGCAGAAAACACTCTAGAAAAAGTGAAAACAGGGTCAATACATGTACTTTAAACACTCAAGTGTACAATCAGATCCTGTAATATAATCACAAGGTTACCATATTTGCCTAATTTATTCCTGGTTTGCTCCCACAGTGTACTCCTTAGTATCTAGAAACAACATACAATACTTACCCACTATGACATATCTACCACAAAGTGAAAGAGCTGCAGAGGATTCTATTCTGTCCCCCAGTCTACTCTCCCACAGTACTTTGCCATCACTCAGTCTGATGCACATGAACACATGACTGTGGGAACCAATGAAAACTTCCCCCTCAGACCTCCCTGGTGCATGCACCACAAGAGGTGAGGCATCAATACATTTGTAAAGACAAGTTCGCCACTGACAAGAAACGGAAACTCTCCCTTCTGCAGTGTTAAAATTTCCTCTATCTGGGTTGACAGCCATGGAACCTTTATGATCTTGGACAGAAGAGAAGAACTGGTCAGGGACCTTTGTTATTAATGGTGACCCTGCTACCTCACGAGATACAGCACTGGCTGAGACACTGGCTTGACTGGCAGAAAATGTTTGTGCCTTGCTTGCCACAACCCCATCTGTGCTTGGTGTTGAGTGTTTACAAATGTTACAAACATTAAACTGGTTTTGTCTCTGCATAGAACAAAAACAGGTTTTCAATTCAGTTACATCTGACAGTGCAGTTATGTTAGAATCCTTATTTTCTTCTAGGGCCTGGATCTTTTTTGCTGCCTTACTGTTGTAAT